TTTGATATTTTTGATACTATTGTATATATCATTTTTAAAATTTTGATTTCTCATTTTACATTTTTAGTACATTAAATTAGAGTTGATTTTAGTATATTGATCACATATTCTTCAAACTTGCTAAACTGTATTAGTTTTAGTACTTTTTTGTATGTATTCGATATGATTGTTTGCAAAGATGATCATGCCATCTGTGAATTAGTCTTATATCTTCCTTTCCTATCTGAATGATGCTTATTTTCTTGCCTTGTTGCATAGAATAGAACTTCTAGCCCAATGTTGACTAGAAGTGGTAAGAGTATATACCCTTGTTCTTGTTCTGGATCTTAGTCTTTCATCATTTAGTATGATGTTAGTTGTAGGTTTTTTGTAGTTCTTTATCAGGTCAAGAAAATTTCTTTCAATTCTTTGCTTGCTAAGAGTTTTGGAAGTGGATGACATATTTAGTCAAATGAGTTTTTCGCATTGATTGAGATGATTAGTTTTGCCTTTTTTAGAAAATAAAGAGAATTATATTAATTTCTGATTATTAAACACAACTTGTACTTCTTAAAAAAACCCTATTTGGTGAGATAACATATTTTACACATTGCTGGATTCAATTTGTCAAATTTTGTTGATATTGTTTTCATCTACGTTCATGGGTGATATTAGTCTAATGTTTTATTATAATGATGTTGTCTAGTTTTGATATCAAAGTAATAATGTTGGTCTCATAAAATGAGGACCCTCTTCATAAATTTTCTGTTTGATAGAATTCACCAGTAAAGCCACCTGAGTCCAGAATTTTCTTTGTGGAAAGAATTTTAACTACAGATTCAATTTTTAAAAACACATTTAAGATTACTCAAACTACCAGTTTATTCTTGAGTGAGCTTTGGTAGTTTGTGTTCTTCAAGGAATTGTCCATTTTATATGAGTTATAGGATTTGTTTGCATAAATGTTTTCATAAGACTATTTTATTATTATTTGAATATTTGTAGAATCTGCAGTGACATCAGCCCTCTCATTCTTGATGTTTGTAATTTGGATTTTCTCTCTTTTTTCTTGTTCAATCACTTTAAAAATTTTTAATATTGATGTTATCAAAGAACAAATTTTGAATTTCATTGATTTTTCTTCTTTATTATTATTTTTTCCTTTTAGTTTCTTAAAGTGGAAATAGTATATTAATTTGAGATTTTTAAATAATGCAGGTGTTTACTGATATAGATTTTCTTCTCATTTTACACATTTTGATATGGTCAGTGTTCATTTTCATTCAGTTCAAAATATTTTTGAATTTTTCTTTTTTTTTCTTCAACTCATGTATTATTTAGAAGTGAGTTACTTAGTTTCTACATATTTCAAGATTTCCCAAATCACTTTTTGTTACTGACTTCTAATTTGATTATATTTTGGTCAGGTAATATCCATTTTTAAAAGTTTGTTGAGACGTATGATATAGCCCAGAATATGGTCTATCTTGGTAAATGTTTCAATTGTATTTGAAAAGAGATTATATTCTGCTGTTGAAATATATTGCCTAGCCGGGTTTGGTGGCTCAGCCTGTAATCCCGCACTTTGGGAGGCCAAGGTGAGTGGACTGCCTGAGCACGCGGGTTCGAAACGCGCCTGGGCAACTTGGCGAGACCTCATCTCTACAATAAATCAAAAAAAAAAAAAAAAAAAGAAATATATTGCCTTCCATAAATATTTATTATATAAAGTGGTTGATAGTATTTTAAAAGTCATCTATATTTCTACTTAATTTCTATTTTCTTGTTCTATCACCATTTAATAGTTTAAGGTTTTACTCTTTTCATTTAATTGTAGATGTGTCTATTTTTTTTTCGCAGTTGTTGATAAATTGATTCCTTTATAATTATGAAATAACCCTCATTCTTCTTGGTAAAGTTATTTGCTTTGAAATTCACTTTGAAGGTCTTTAACATCACAATCTACCCTTAAGTAATATTATGTATCATTTAAGAACTTCACAATATAAACCTTCATTTTTCTTTCTTTCTCAGTGTTTTGGTCATTGTTTTTATATTTCTTTATATTTATGTCACTAAACACCAACATTATTTAAAAATCTCAAGTTAATATACTGTTTCCACCTTAAGAAACTAGAAATGATAATAATAAAGAGAAAAATCAGTGAAATTCAAAGTTGGTTCTTTGAGAACATCAAACATATTACATTTTACTAACACTTGTGTTAAAAATCCCACACTATGGTATTTTTAAAAAATAAATAATCTTTTAAACATATTGGAAATATAAATATGTAAAACATTATTTTATATTAACTTGTACTTTTACTGTTTTTGATACTCTTCATTGCCTTGTGTGGATTCAGATTTCCATCTGGTATCACTTTCCTTCTTCCCAAAGGACTTCTTTTAATATTTCCTGTAGTATAGGTGTGCTGGCGACTAATTATTTTAGCCTCTTTTTTTCTGAAGAAGTCTAAATTTTGCCTTCATTTTTAACAGTCATTTTTCTGCATGCAGCATTTTAATTTGAGGGTTTTTTTCTTTTAGTGCTTTAAAATATTGCTGTATTATCTTCTTGTTTACATTTTTTCTAATGAGAAGTTTGCAGCTTTCTTATCTTTCCCCTCTGTATGTGTTGTGCCCAGAGAGCACAAACCTGTGTCTCAGCCAGGTCATGGATGCTTGTACCTTGCACCCCCACAGAACTGCACCAGACTTCTGCAGACAGCAACCTCACCAGCTTCTGCTTCCAGCAGTGGCCAGTGGCCAGTAGATTCTCCTGGCACCTGTTGGATTCTGAAGCTCAGGACCTTTTCATGGAAAACTTCCCTTTATGCCCTCGCAGACAGATTTCCACCAAGTGCCATCCGCCAGGTAGCTAAGCAACTTCTCTGTCATCCACTGAGCCAAAGCTGTGCCCCTTCCAGTGAGGTCTGGATCTCAGCCTTGTTGGGTAAGAAGAGGGAGGAGGATCTTCTATGGGTGCTGTATATCTTTTTAGGGTAGTGGTCATTACTTTTATCTGCTACCTCTGTGTTCTAACTCCCTGTTATTCTAGTCCCATGGTAATGATTTTTGACACTGAACTTTCTCTTTGTGGTTTCTAGCTACTGATTGGACTATCACCATGGTAATATAACTCACCATTAGCTCTGTTTTGAAATACTGCTTTATTTTCCAAATTTTGTTAATGATTTTTTACAGCCTCTTCATTTCCTTGTTCATTTTTCCTTGGATCACCACAGTCTGAAAGAGACTCTTACAAATATGACCTTAGCTTGTTTCAGTTCTTGGTTATAAGATCATGTCTGTGTTTTGTGCCCTCCCAGGCTCAGCTTTCTATAAGCTACAGTTCCAGGCATTGGTTATCCAGATTTTTCAGCCTTCTTTTCAGAGTGGGTCTTTGATTATCGTCCAGATCACCACTTTGTGCTTTGGCACTTGCTCTGGTTTGAAGAGATATTTTTCTTGCTTTGGAGCCTGGATATATCTTGCTGTTTTTCTCCTTTTATGTTTTATCTACAATTTCCATGTGTGTGGAACATAATAGTTGTATCAGATTGTAAATTTCCCAAATCATTTTGTTCAAAAGTCTGGAAGTTGCCCTTTGATTTTCTGATTTTTGCCTTTCTTAGGTTTTGAAAATCCACTTTATAAGTCTAGTGAATTTTCAGACTTTGAGGCAGATTTCCATTATGTTTTCAGCACTTGCTGTGTCAAGTCCAACAGCTATTAATAGATGTTTTAGCATAATGTTTCCTACACTCTTGTCTAGAGTCTCAGGACAAAATCTTGTACTATATTCTTATACTCAGGACTTTTGCCAGATGGTATACCATCTATACTATTATTATTATTTTTCTTTACGTGTTTATTAACTTAAATGGATTTTAAAAAATTAGTAGAAAAGGCAAAAAGTCTAAGAGTTCATGCTATGAAGGACCACATACCTAAAGGGAAAGCACTGTATCTAAAATGAAAAGCAATAGATAAGAAATATCAGAGAAGGGCAGGAGAGGGGGTGTAGAGCAGATCATCCAGGGTCTCCAGGAGACGACTGACAGATGAGAATGGACATGAAAATGGTAAGGACAGGTAAGGGATAGTTCAATCTCAAGTCTCTGTCAGAGCCAAGGTGAAGAAGGGAATTCCAGTTTGAAAAGAAAGAATGGACCAAAAATAGGTAAGATAATGATGCTGAAGATTAAGAGGACTGAAACTGAGATTCAGGGGCAAGGATGAAGGATTTCAAGGTGTGTGAAGTTACAACTGAGAAGTAGTGCAAAGTTCCCCGGGGCCCTGGGAATGAGAAGGCTGAGAGAAGTATAGGTAAAGGTGAGATTAAGATGGAATGAAGTTTTATGAAAGGGGGCTGCATAGAGTGGGAGCTGGGTCCAAAGCAGATGCCAAACACGTTAGGAGAAGGGAGGCAGTATCGGGGAGACTCGAGGTGCAGGTGGGAACTGAAGAACAGTACTGAGGAGTATCAGTGGAAAGAGGGTTAAAACAAGTGGTGCGGGGCTTGAGCAGAGCCTGAGAGTGGGAGTGGGGCAGAGCAGCGAGAACAAGTACTCCTGTTCAATTGAACAAGGCTACTCGGGTTGTGTTCTGGGACTGCAGGCCTGGACTGCGTACATGCTGGGGCTTATATGCATCCAGAGAGTGGTGTGCATTTATGCTCTGATGTAACTCAACCTAACCGTGAGCATCACCGGTAGTGTCTGCCACACTTGCTGAGGCACTGTTTTAATCTATGATTTACCTCATAGGAAAGAATAATGTAATAATCTCATGAGTTTTTTGCCCCAACAATGAAGGACCTTTGACATTAGTGCAGTGTTATTAGACAACCTCCTTCTTAGAGTGTCTTAAGAATGCTAGAGCAAAGTTTGGAAAAGACATGTTTTATGAACTATATGCTATGGTCATATTTTATCATAAATACATTCCACATTTTATAAGGATTGCATCAAAATTGAAGAGCACGTGGGAAAACTTGGTGATAGTTGGACCATTACCTCTTTAGACTGGATGGACTCCTCAGACTTACCAGTAATGTCTGACTTGATGCTATTTGTAGAGCACAGAGGAACGAAGTTGGTATTTCTTTTAGTAGAGTACATCATTGATTCGACCTGCTCATCAGCTTTTATTAATATCCTTAAATGAAGAATATAGAGATTATCATTCCAAAAATGCCTTAAAAACTTAAAGAAACTTTATAAAGCATCCCTTTAAAACTATTATTGCTTTTGCCATTGAAGTGGTCAATTCTTGTGCAGTTCCTGCTGGACAGTGTCCAGATTTAATAGCAGGCTAATAACTCTAGCTCATACTAAGATGTTAGTGATTGACAATAATTTACTGTGGCTTCTTTTCCAAAGACCTGTAATTCACTGGAGAAAATAATGACTTAATCCAAAAACAATTATGTCATTAGCAAGGACAGATCTTAGAAAAAGTAAAGGAAATTTTTTGATATAGGTGATATTCTTTCTGATGTCTTCTTCCTAGCCTTTTCTGGATCTTATATATTTATAACATTTAGCTGGTCCTGGACCAGAGGGAGATCTCAGGAGTTGATAATGCTTTCCAGCCTGCCATTACTGCCCATCCCAAACGGTGAGCATAAAGCAAAATTAAGAGGGCCTGCTCCTAAAAACTATAAGTAAATTAAAAAAAAAAACCAAACTAACCTTAAAGAAACTGTCCAAATTATAGGAGAGAACAAAATTCTAAACCAGATTGCTCTAGGTCTTGTTTTTCTTTTTCCTGCTTCTCAGAGGAATGAGACCAGTTTTAATGAAATAAGGGTGCTATATTCATTTGAATGTGGTATAGTAAATTTGCGACTTTTTTTTCTAATGATGATGGAGTCTTGTTATGTTGTCCAGGCTGGTCTTGAACTACTGGGCTCAAGCAATCCTCCCACCTCAGCCTCCCAAAGTGCTAGGATTGCAGGTATGTGCCACTATACCTGGCCACACCTGTGACTTTCCCAGAAAGAGATGGGAAGAGGAGGATAAGAGAGAAAGGAGGAGCCTAGCTAGGATAATAGCAGGTTGGACTAGGTTGGGGGAGAAGTGAGGAGAAGACGTAGGTAGATTTCGGTGCTCAAGGAGAATGTGCACATAGAAGACTTTACAGTGAAACTGTGACTCTTGGACAAACTTAACTGTTAATTAATTGTTTATAGGTACAATGAGCCTTAACCAGCCTTGGACTATCCAAACATCTTTCGTCAGACATTCCTTTACACAATCACTTTTTTCCCCCATACATTTCTCTACCATGAAAGAAACAGTTTGGCTTTTAAAATTATTTATCCATTTATTTTTTAGAGATGAATTCTTGTTTATATTGCCCAGGCCGGTCTTGAATTCCTGGGCTCAAGCAATCCTCCTGCGTCAGCCTCCCAAGCAGCTGGAATTACAGACACAGACCACTGTGTCTTGCCTTGATCTTTTTTTCAGGAGTATTTACTTTATGCAAAGTTTAAAATAAAACTTTGACATCTTCTCATAATAATTTTTTATGAGAATATGCTTTATTAAAGAATTTCTTTTCCTAAGAAGGCTGCTAGACATAATAAGATGACAATAAATTTAGGTATGTAGAAAACTCTACCTGTCTTTATTTCATTTTCACATAGAAACTCACTAAAAGGACACATCTGTATATAATCACATACAGTCTAGGTAAATAATTACAATATTAATTTTCATGGTTTGTACTTTTCTGAACTTTTTTGACAGGGTAATGCTAATATTAATGATAATAATATAATAAAGTTAATTATACCAACAATAATTCTAAGCACTTTATGAGTTAGCTTATTTAGTATTTACAATAAATCAATTTTTAAACACTTTAGATTCAAGGGGTGCACATGTAGATTTGGTATATGAGTATATTGAGTAATGGTGAGGTTTGGGCTTCTTTTGAGCCCATAACCTAGCTGGTAAGCATGGGTGGTCTTACAACCTTTACCTCCCTCTCCCCTTCCCCAGTGTCTGCTGTTCCCATCTTTATACCCATGAGTATTCAGTGTTTAGCTTCCATGTATAAGAACAAGTGATATGTAATTTTCGGTTTCTGTGATAATTTGTTTAGGATAATGGTTTCCAGCTGATCCATGTAGCTGTGAAGGACATGGTTTTGTTCTTTTTATGGCTGTGTACTATTCCATGGTGTGTATGTACATTCTCGTTATCCAGTTCACTGTTGGTGAGCACCTAGGTTGGGTCCATGCTTTCATAATTAATACACACAAGAAATCATTAATAGGTTACTATTTAATTTTTTCATGATAAAGATTAGAAAACTGAGGCACTAAAAAAAAAATATGACTAATATTTTTGAAATAATAGATATGAGCCGGGCTCGGTGGCTCAGCCTGTAATCCCGCACTTTGGGAGGCTGAGGTGAATGGATTGCCTGAGCCCGTGGGTTCAAGACCCACCTGGGCAACTTGGCGAAACCTCATCTCTACAATAAGATCCAAAAAATTAGCCGGGCGTGGTAGCACACACCTGCAGTTCTAGCTACTTGGAAGGCTGAGGCGGAAGGATCGCCAGAGCCCAGCAGGTTGAGGCTGCGGTGGCCGGGAGCGTACCACTGCACTCCAGTCTGGGTGACGGAGTGAGACGCCAACTAAAAAAAAAAAGAAGTAATAGATATGGATTATGCACAAAATTTATATAAGAGATCTACATATTAGAATAAAAAGTAGACAAATGAGTGCTTATAAAAAAGAATATTGAGGCACTGAGAATTTAAATTACTTGCCCAAGGACCTAAAACTATTAAGTGGCAAAGTCAACATGCAGTTACTCCAGAGCTCATAACCTTCACCACTTTGCTAAGTCACGTCAAACAATTATCTTAGCAGCATTAACTTTGCAATACTTGTGATCATCACAAATTCTAAGTTGATTCATTTTGACACCACAGTCAATAGTGGCAAACAAGTGTGCCCAGAGTTTCAAAAATGAGTTACTTGTCTATATAGACACCATGTATATTATGCTTACTATAAAATACCTAGAATATTATGGTTGCTCATTGAGTATTAATATTTAAAATGGTGCTGTGTGTCTGAATGAACATATTTTGATTTTATTATTCTCTCTTTTGAAAGATAATATTCAAAATGTAATAAAGAGCCAGAATCAGAGGACAAATGCACCAGTTTTCAATCTTAAGGAACATGAATTTTCAGGTAAAAGTGAATTAAATTAACTCAAAAATGAATTTTCAAGTGATGTGAATAAGATTAGCTCAATATATATATAGTTTTGCCATTACGTATATGCAGTCTACAGAGAAACAGCATGAAGCTTGGCCATACAATCTTCCAGCTGTATAGATGCTCTGGTTGTTTCATATTGTCTGCCAACCCATGCCCACCTATGTTGTGCTCTACTGGGCTGGGTATTTGTAGACTCCATTTCTGAGACTGTCCCACCTGCTGAGTTCTTGGCTAATTGAATGATCATAATCTTAGAAAATCAGAGACTACTAATCCACTTTAAATAAGGTGTTTAAAATTTTAGAGATTTATGCCACAAACACACCACTTTTGTTTTTCCTATGTCATGAAACCATTTAACATAAGACCTAATAATGGACTTGTAATTATAATAAAAAATAAAAATGGATTACTTTAAAGAAAAATCTTATGATAGCAGCAATTTTTAAAAAATCTCAAACGGGCTCATTCAATCACAGTTATTTCTTTTTTCTTTTATTGCTACTCACATTAGTTTGAACTTTTGACCTCAATAACTTCATAAATTATTAAATTTACTGTGGAATGAAAAATCATGAAAATCTAATCATCAAATAACACCTCACTTCTATTTTTGAAGAAAACACAAGATATGAAGAATATGAAATAAAATCAGAATCAGGTAGTTTTCACATCAATATAGAGTATATTTTCAAACTGTTTTTTTTAAATGTCATTGCTTCATAGAATATGTCCAGAAAGACTTCATTCTAGCACAGTAGAGAAAGCTAAGTTTGAAAGTTGAATCTATAAATTTGATGAGGAGATGGAAGCTCATAACTTTTAAAATTTCCTGATTTGTAAAACAACATTGACATCAGAGATATAATCAGAAAATTAAAGAAGTAAAATAAACAGAAAATAAAGGGTTGAAACTAGTTATTTAGAAAAGAAGGACAAAATTATGGACTTTGCAGCAACTTGGATGGATTTAGAGTCTATCATACTCAGTGAACTATCATAGCAACAAAGAACTGAGGGCCACATGTTCTCAGTCATCACTCAGAAGTGTGTCTTGAACATTTATCACAGTACTACAAGAGAAGGATCAGCAGTAGCAGAACGTTGCCTGAGCTGGGGGGAATGGGGGCACGACATCATTAAGGGTACCTGGTCCTAAACCAGGGGAAGTGAGGACCAGTGGGAGGTCCAAACTTCCAAACTTCACCTGCACGTAGGTCATTTATGTGCCTAATTCTAACATTTACCTCACATCTCTATAATAAAATTATGTATATCCACAGTATGGATTTATGCCTGCATCCTTTATTCAACAAATATTTATTGGGTGCCCACTGTGTGCAGGGCACTGTGTTAGGTGCTTTGTACACATTAAGTCTCAACCCTCTGTCTGGCTTCCAAGAGCTTCCATATTCTGACTCTCATTATCCAAGTCTTTCCCCTCCTTCCCCTAACACTCATCTTTACCGTTTGAGTTGCACACCAACTCATATATATACATATGAGCCCTTAGCAAATATGTTGTCTTCCTGGTCAAGAGAAGAAGGCCAGAATGAAGATGACAGGTAGAGCCTAATTCCTAAGACTTATATTAATGTGCCCTAATGAAAAAGTTAGTAAAATCTAATAGGTTGGATCTCATGACACATAGAAACATGGATCCTACAGAAAGGGAATTTTCTGTGTACTTCCGCATTCTCCTGCCCCCTCCTGATGGCCCAGAATGAGCTTCCTGGCCCACCTGTAAGGATGTGATGTACACACAGTATGGATTTATGCCTGTATCCCTTATTCAACAAATATTTATTGGGTGTCCACTGTGTGCCAGGCACTGTGTTAGGTGCTTTGTACACATTAAGTCTCAACCCTCTGTCTGGCTTCCAAGAGCTTCCATATTCTGACTCTCATTATCCAAGTCTTTCCCCTCCTTCCCCAACACTCATCTTTACTGTTTGAGTTGCACAGCAAGCTCCATGTTGGTGTCCTGTCTACGTAGATTTCTCCTTCCTTTTCACTTCTACCTCCCTCCTTCTAACCTTAAAGCCATCTTCCATAAGTAAGAGAGCTCTCTCCCTCCCCATGAATCCTGCTCTCATTTCTTCAACTTGTAAAATCTGTATGTACAGTTTTGTAATTTGCCACTGTATGCAGCTGTTTTAAGTTTTTAAGTAGGGATTGTATGTTATATTAATTTGTGTTTGAACCAAAAGCTCATAGCATGTAGCATTAGACTGTCTTGTATCTGCCACATACAAGATTTGAAACTTATTTGTGCTGTACCTGACAAATATTAGGTACCACATACCCATTCGTTCTTTAACTTTCATCATAGTATCTAGCACAATGCTCAGGATATTAGACACACTCCATTTCTTCGTGGAGGAACTATAATAAACCGTGATTGCTTTACAAAATGTAAGGTTATAATTTAGAACTTCCGTTTTCTAGTGTGATATGATCTTTGAAAAGTTAAGGGAAAAAAAACCCTGCTGACATAATATTTTGTCATTATCCGTGACACTGCAAGTGAATAATATAGACCTTGGCTTGCCATGAGTTCAGCATGTGCTCCTTTCTCCACCACCATTCCATATTTTATGGTCACAATCAGTTCTGCATTTCAAATAGTGAAAAGTCGGTGTGCTACCACAATTGTAGTCCGGCCTTTGCTTGCCTACAGAACAGAAGGTATAGAAAATAAATACACCATTAGCAGAAATAACAATTCTCTGCAATATTCATGAAAACTTCTTGTTGCAGTATTATTTTCAATGTCAAAGAATCTTATTCTTGGATACAGAAATGTGTAAACTTTAATAGGTTAAGAAGGCAAATAGAAATTAAAAGGAAAGTCAGAATGGCCAGATGCTGTAGCTCACGCCTGGGAGGCAGAGGTGAGAGGATTGCCTGAACTCAGGAGTTTGAGACCAGCCTGGGTAACGTGGTGAGACCTCATCTCCACAATAAAGAAAAAAATTGACTGGGTGTGGTGATGTGGGCCTATAATCACAGCTACTTGGAAGGCTGAGGTGGAAGTATGGTCTAAACCCAGCAGGTCGAGGGTGTGATAACTGTGATTGTGCCACTGTACTCCAGCCTGGGCAACAGAGAGAGACTCTGACTCAAAAAAAAAAAAACAAAAAAGAGTAAAGTCAGAAAGTTAATTAGATTGCAAATGAGTTATTTTATAAAACCATAACATCTTAAACCAGAAAGGAACCCAGGGATCATTTCAGCTAATAGTTGCATGGTTACTTGTAACTAAAAGTAACTAAGTAACTTACACTATTTCTTTTCTTTTTTCATCTTTAAAATGGGAACATTACTTGACTGGTTGAATGATTCGAGTTTTTATATATATATATACATATATATATATATATATAGTAATTTTTTTTGCAAATATCATTAACATATGGAAGAGTCCATGTAAGGATGCACACACATCACTGCACTTCAGACTGAATATGCCCACATCAAGGTACCCAGAGCGAGACTCTGACCACTTCCAGCGCCCATAAATCCACTTCATACTCTTTTCTAGTAGCTCTTACCATTCACCCACACCAAGGAGAACCGCTATGTTGATTTCTAACAGCATTAACTGTTTTGACTTTTTTGGTAATTTATAAAAATGAGATTATTCAGGATTATACAGTATAGACTCTTCTGTGTCTGGGTATTTTGTTAAACATTGTGTTTCTGAGATTCATCCATTTGGTTACATAGAGTTGCAAATAATTTATTCTTATTGTTGAACAGAATTCTATTGTGTGAATATATCACAGTTTGTTTCTCCATTCTACTCCAGATTGCCATTTGGATAGTTTTGAGTTTTTTTTTTCTCTCTCCTATTATGTATAGGTTACTATACATGTTTATTTGGTGAACATATGTACACAGTTCTAACAGTTGTATATCTAGGAGAGGAACGGTTGAATCTTAAAGTATGTGTGTGGTTCACTTTATTCGATTCTTCCAAATAGTTTTTTAAAGTGGTTGAATTTCATAATAGTTTATACTCCCCCAACAGTGCAGGGCAGTCATGATTGCTCTATATTCTCACCAACACTGGGTGCTCTTTGTCTGTCTGGTAGGTGAATACTACCACATTGTAGTTTTTAATTGCATTTCCCTGATGACTAATAAAGTTGAACAATGGTGACTGACAATTTGGATATTCTATCTCGTGAGTTCCAGTTCAATTTTGTTCTCATTTTTCTATTTGAACACTCATTTTCTTGTCAGTTTTCCTAAGCTGTTTATATACTCTAGATATGAGGATTCTTTAATTTTTTAAATTTTTTATTTTTTTGAGTTGGAGTCTTACTCTGTCGCCCAGACTGGAGTGCAGTGGTCGCTCCCGGCCACCACAGCCTCGACCTGCTGGGCTCCGGCGATCCTTCCTCCTCAGCCTTCCGAGTAGCCGGAATTACAGGTGCGCACTACCACGCCCGGCTAATTTTTTAAAATTTTATTGTAGAGATGAGGTCTTGCTGCCCAGGCGGGTCTCGAACCCGCGGGCTCAGGCAATCCACTCACCTCAGCCTCCCAAAGGCACGGGATTACAGGCTGAGCCACCAAGCCCGGCTGAGGACTCTTTTAAATGCTATGTGTCACAGTTCTTTTTCTCTTTACATGGTTGTCTTTTCATTCTTTTAATGGTGTCTTTTGATGAACAGAATTAAAAAATTTTAATAAAGTCCAATTTACCAAATTTTTTATTTTATAACTTATGCTTTTTGCGTACTATTTAAGAAATCTTTACTTCAGTGTTACACAGATGTTTTTCTATGTTTTACCTTACAATCTTTATCGTGTTGCCTTTCATATTTATTTCTACAACTCATCTGGAATTGATTTTTGTGTGTGATGTCAAATGGGAGTCAAATACAATCTCTCCATACAGTTAACCCAGTGTTCCAGCAGCCTGTTTTGAAAAGACTACCCCTTTCCCCATTGCACTGCAGAGCTGACATCATCACAATTCAAGCGTCCACAGTTTTGTGTCTGTGTTCTGTATGTTACTCTGCTGTTCAGTGTGTGTATCACTGCACCAATGCTACATTGTCTTAACTACTATAGATTTAAAGTAGGAATTGATATCTTCCAGCTTTATTGTTTTGCTGCAAGATTGTGTTGTCTATTCTCAATATAATGTCTTTTTTGTAGATATCTAGCACAATCACTGACACTTTTGGCCCACTACAACTTTGCCAGAAACTCAACAAATGATAGCTAATATTATTACTATTCATACTACTGCTATATTACTGATATTTACTTCTCTCATTCCTATTTTTATTCTTATCTACTAAAGAGAAACAAACAGGAGTTCAGAAAGTTAAGAAGCTTGCTCAAGGTCTCAGCCAGTCACTGGAAGGAATGGTGCTAGAATTTGGTATGGTTTTGACTATTCTCTGCACAAGGTCTCTCCATTGCTCTAGATATACTTGATGAAACAGATGATTATTTCTTTCAAACTCTTCTATTTTAGACCTATAATAGAAGGAAACTTTGCAAAGCATCAGCTATTAAAATTATATAATAATGTGGAAAAATTATGATACATTATATGAAAAATAAGGAAAAAAGTATACATCTATTATAATCATATTTTTAAAAATTAACGCATAGAAAAAGACATCTATATAAAAATAGATCAAAATACGAACAATGTCTGTATTTAATTATTGAGCCTATGGCTTGTATTTTTCTTGTCTCAATTTTCCTAATTTTATTTAATATGCAAGTATTGCACTTTTGTTTAAAAGCAAGACAGCTAAAAAACTTTGAAAAAACATGTATTGGCCAGGCTCGGTGGCTCAGCCTGTAATTCCAGCACTTTGGGAGACCAAGGCGAGTGGATTGCCTGAGCCTGCAGGTTCAAGACCCGCCTGGGCAACTTGGCAGGACCTCATCTCTACAACAAATAAAAAAAATTAGCTGGGCATGGTAGCATGCGCCTGTAGTTCCAGCTACTTGGAAGGCTGAGGCGGAAGGATCTCCAGAGCTCAGCAGGTTGCAGTGGCCGGGAGCGTGCCACTGCACTCAGGTCTGGGCGACAGTGAGACTCCAACTCAAAAAAAAAAAAAAAAAAAGGAAAAGCATGTATTACTTAGCTTTTGTTCCTATGAATAATATATGTATTCACATGAACAAGTAGATGTAGTTAAGCAAGACTGAAAATAATTACACTTAGAATTAGAGGTCTTTTTAAACTATTATTTTTACAGCATCCTATTTTTAAAAATAAATAAGTTATGTTCTGGTGCATTTGGTTTATATTAAGGTGAACATCTAAAGTATCATCCAAACCAGGACACTCTAGAGTGGGATAGACTGGAACCTTCTCAGGACAGGTGGAGATATGGTCATGTAATTATAGCTTAAAGCCATTTGAATTTATGCTTGAGTGTCAGGAAAGTTAAAGAGGAATCATATATACCACTTAGGTTTAAGTTGGCAATGGAGGAGTGGTTACTACTTAAACTAAGTGTTCTACCTGGACTTTATTTTTAAAAATTACTTAGGGAAAGAGGATTGAGGATAAAGACACTAACTCAACAAAATTAAGCTTCTGCACTAAGCAGATATTGTTACTAATCTCAGTTCTTGAAACATATTCATCTGTAAATGGCATATATATATATACACATGCACACACATTTATATCAGGAATATACACATACATATACACATATACATATTTCCTTTGTCAATTAAATTAATCTGGCAAATACATACTCACACACACACATTTTGTATTGACTGAGCCAACCAGGAAACTAGAAATGTTATCATTTGGATTCGAAATGACAGATGACACCTGAAGGTCATAAGTGAGGCTAAGTTGCTGTATCAGTCAGTCTAAAGTTTTGCATTGTCATGAGTGGCCTTACAGACCATGGGCAGAACCAGTTTCATGAGTGTTACAAAGTAGCCAGTTACACAAGGACCTGTGTTTAGAAGGGCTCAACTCTTGAATTACTGCTCTGTTGTAATTCTCAATTTTCAAACAAGAGACTCCATATTTTCATTTTGCACTAGGCCCCACAAACTATGTAGTTGGCCCTGACCACTGGTGGTTTGTCCTAGGCTTGGACATCAATAGAGTCCTTTAAGTAGCAGGACTAGGTATTAATAGATTAAAAAAAGAAAGGCATTATTTTTTGATAGTCAATTATCTATGCAAGGCAGGGTCCCTTCTTGCCATGACTTTAATTACAACCTGAATACTATTAGACTATAACTATTATTCAGTTTCTAAATCTGTATTAAGTTTAACCCCTGTGTCTTGTCACATAGAGTAGACAGTATGGACAGATATTCTCCCTTGCAACAGCCCTATGGACAGATATTCTCCCTTGCAACAGCCCTACCTGTGGGTAAGAGCGCCTTCCTAAAAGTATATAATGAGGCCAGGCTAGTGGCTCATGATGGTAATCCCAACACTTTGAGCAATCGAAGTGAGAGGATTACTTGAGCCAGGAGTTTGAGACCAGCCTGGCAACATAGTGAAACCTTGCCTCTATAAAAAATAAAATAATTAGCCAGGTGTGGTGGTGCATGCCCATGGTTGCAGCTACATGGAAGTCTTAGACAGAAATATCACCTCATCTTGAAAGGTCGAGGCTGCAGTGAGCTGTGATTGTGCCACTACATTCTAGCCAG